CGTGCCCCCTCACAGGGAGCCGTGGTGGGGCCGCACGGGTACGCGTCAGGGGGAGGCCCTTTCCCGCCTGCCCCGGCTGAGGGACCAAACGCAAGGGACAAGCGAGTGGGCCCTGCTGCTGCTCTAGGCCTGAAGCTGTGAATCAAGGCGTGGGTCGTGAAGTCTTAAATAATAGTCACTGTTGTGTCGTTTTTCTGAATTATGGGCCTCTCTGTGGCTAGAAATAGCCCGCTCCTTTATCAAGAGCTGGCTGTCGTGACTCTTGGAGCTGTGTGTGTCTGGCAGGAAAGCTGCAGAGGGTACCGTGTAGCTGTTAAAAGCTGTGGGATCCCACAGGCAGAGCGTGTCTGTTGCTCGCTGCAGCCCCCGTCCCTGCCCACTCCTAACACACCAGGAGTTGTGGAGGAAGATGCTCTTTGTGCAGGTTGGAGGTCAGCCGGGCATCCCAGTGGCTGTGGGTGGCTTGGGGGAGTTGAAGATGTGGATGGTGGCTGTCTTCGTTTTCACAGGACAGGTCCTGGCACATTGCCTCCCGTCACACCGCATCCTCTCAAGCCCTACGGTGAGGGTGCTCCTGTCTAGAGGGAGCTGCGCACCCTGGGGTCAGGGCTCTGGGGGAGGCAGCATCTCTTCCCCTGGGGGACCCAGTAGGGTGGGCAGGTGGCTGCATGCCTGGCCATCTCCCAGGGCAAGTGGCACAGCCAGGGTCAGAGCCCACCTCCGCTGTTGGAGCACATCAGAGGTGCTCAACCCCGCTGCCCCTGGGCATCTTTTGTGAGCTGCAGCGTGCCTGGGTCAGGTGGGCAGCACCTGAATTTCCCTGGTGAGCCACCAGCCCTTGCATTCCTCTGTGTCCGGCACCACTGAGGTCAAAGTCACCCTGTGGAGCCAAGGAGACAGTGTGAGCAGAGGTGCTGCCCCTGCCCTGCTGCAGGGACTGGGGAGGAGAAAGCAAGACAGGGTTAAGGGTGAGGGTTGGTGTCATGCCCCAGCACCTGGACAGCCCAGGATAGTGCTGGCTGTCATCTCTGTCCTGTGCTGGTCTGAGTGGTGCCACCCCACCGTGCCCCAGTTCATCCCAGAGGAGGGAAGCAGGAGATCTCAGGCAGCACTTTGGGAAGGTGAATGCCATGCCTGGTCCGGTCCTCTGCCTGGGGAGGACCTCCTGGCATCACGAGGGAGCAGCTGGAAAGCATGGCTGCCTCGGCTGGGGTGGTGCTCGCAGCTTCCAGCTGGGGATCAGGGTCTCTCTCCTGTCTTGGGGGGATTTCAGACCCCAGGCTCTTCAGCCAGCGTTATTAACTGCACTAATTACTTGGCTGATGGAGGATGGGCTGGAGGGGGGTTGGTGGTGACAGCTGTGTTCCAGCTCAGCTCCTCGGGGCACTCACTGAGTCCCACGTCTATCCCTCAGGGCGTCATTAAGGCAATTAAAATGGGAAGCGTTAACAGTGCTAGCAGCTGCTTTCCGGGTTCTGGCGGCTTCCCTTCCTCTTCCCGTGGCTCCTCTTGCTCCTGCCTCAGCTCCGGAGCTTGGCAGGGTGAGTTTAATATCTCCGCTTTTGGGTCTGGGCAGTTGGCTGGTCTCTAGCTGTCCCCCAAGACTTGCCGGGGCGAACTGCCCCCTGCTGCAGTGGGGCAGGATCCCAGCCTGCCCCTTGGGCAGCGGGAAGGCTGCCCATGACAGATCCTGGGTGGTAGCCGGAGCTTCCCCTGGGAGCAGAGCTGCTGTCTCCCTGCCAGCAGATCGCCTGCCTTCAGGAGAGGTGAGGAGGAGGAAGGCTTTGCCTGAGATGCTTCGCTGCAGGCGTGGTATGAGCTGCAGTGCTGCCATCGCAGTTGTTTCTCTGTGCAGACATCTCAAGACTCTGGGAGATTCGTCCCCCAGGCTGGTGCTCAGGGCTTGCTTACTCCCCTCGTGGTGCACAAGAGGTTCAGACAAGACTCGGACAGCCTGCTGCTTGTCGCCGGCGCCTGGCCGCAGCCTGCGTTAGCCTGCGGTGGGTCAGTGAGCACGGTGTCCCCAGGGTGGCTGTCCCCTCCCCAACAGCCGGCCTGTCCCTGCCTGTGTGTCCAGCAGCTGCGGTTGCTTCCAGCCCTGCAGGCAAGGAGAAGCCCTGTCCCTCCTTCCCGGGGTGTGTGTGGGTTTATCCCCAAATAAATGCCAGTTCATTGCTGCTTCCATCGGTCCCAGTGTGTCCGCTGCTGCAGGCACTGAGCGGGGCTGCGGCTGCTCGGACCCAAGACCAGGAGCTGGGGGCTAAGGGACATCTCTTGGGCTTGAGGCAGTGTCCTTGTGTTTCTGAGACTGCCAGCCCCTCTGAGTGCAAGCGAGGGATTGCTTGTAGGGCCTCTCCAGCAGCCGACGCAGACTTGATCCCATTCCCAGCTTGGCTTTGCACCACTTTTCCCTGGCTTTGTCCCAGGGCTGCTGTCTGCACCGGGCTCTTGCACCAGGAGCGGCATTTACCTCCGTTGCCGTGCCTGTGCCTGTGACCTGGCGGGGGTGGGAGTCACCCCGAGATGCTCGGGAGCAGCTCTGCACTATTTTTGCTTGGCTGGAGTTGGATCCTGCTGCGTACGCAGGAGCCATTGGTGTTTTCTGGTGTGTGCAGGGCTCACCGAGGCACCCCTCTGCAGCTGGGGTGGGCCAAGGACAGGCTCGCTGGAGACAGCGAGGAGCCCCACCATCCCTGGGGGACGGGGAGCAGCCGTGGCCTTGCCTCACAGGGCTCTTGCAGCTCTGCTGCTTGCACCACATTGATTTGTTTTGAGCTTCAGGCAGCTGCCAGGTGCGCACTGGCGGTGCTTTTGTAACGCACCGCTGGAGCAGAGCATCCCGTGTCCGAGGGAGAAGCGTCAGCTCTGAGCTGAGATTCATGTTGAATCCAGGATGGGCTCACCCTGGGTTAGAGACCTTCTCAGCCCCATGGGATCCCCCCCGAAGTCGTGCTCTCCCTTGTAGCCTGCAGACAGCCCCTGCTGAGCAAGGCCAGCCTGTGAGTGGGAGATGTTTGGCCTCGCTTGGATCTGCATATGCTAAGTGTCTGGGTGACGCTTGACTGTCTTTGGGATGAGCTGGCTGGCCTCAGTGGCATTTGGAGTCATAGAGATGTCGGTGCATGAGCCACACGTCCCTCTAATGAAAGAGCTCTGCAGGATGAAGCTTTTGCCTTGATGGGAAGTGGTGTGCCGAGGCAGGGAGGCGGCTGGGTGGCGCGGGTATCTGGTGCCACCCTGCCTGCAGGCCGAGCAGCCCCTGCAGCCAAGGAGCCCTAGCATGTGTAACCCTGCAGCCGTGAGACCCCTGCTACGCAAGCGAGCCCTTTAGCCTGGAAAAGTTCTGCTTTAAAATCCAGAGAAATCCCCAGCGTGTGGGAGCTGCGGGTTCCTTTCTCAGCTGGTGGTGGTAAAGCTCCAGAGCGCATCCAGTGAGTTCAGGGAGCGCCTGCCCTCCTTTCCTGCGTTCCAGAGGGACCGTTACCTAACACTGGTTTGCTCAGGGCAGCCTCTGTTCCCTGCAGCAGCTCAGGGCAGGAGAAGC